GACCAGTGAGGATTCGAACTCGCTACTCACTCGCAACTGATCTAGCAAGACAAGCTCGGTAAACATTACGCCACGTCAAACGCCCAGAATGCCTGTCTGTCTGTCTCATTCACTTAGAGGTGGTACAAGACGAATTTATGGGTCATCTAATGACGATCGAACTCAGTCGTGATTGAGCTTATGGAATTAACACATTAATTCCATCTATATTTTACGCGCGCGCGAGTTTTCCTCCCTTCCTTTCACACTCGTGCGTGTGTGCGCGCGGTTTGCACCCCTTCCTCCCTCTCACAGCTAGACGTAGCAGTAATCTGGAGGAAGAACTTCGCTGGCTCCTGCTGATGAAGTCAGCCGAACAGATTTTGAATCTTTTCCCGCGCGTTTCCTGGCGTCTCAAACGAACAGCGTTTGCAAGCCAATTGCTTCCCGATCTTCAACCTCACTAGACGGGCAACTCATTTATTCCGTGCCCTTAACCCATATGCGGGCCGGAATATCTTATTTTAATAATGTCGACCTCACACTGTACCAAGACTTCTTCTCGTCTTGAAGCTGCGCGCAGGTCAGACCTTCTCCGTTTTCGATTAGAAGACGTTCGAGACACACGACACAGTCGTGAGCAAAACTTCGTATTCAACAAGTGGCTTATTTTTATCCCTCGTCAGTCAATCTTAAATATAGACAGGGATATCTTACTGGCGAACAGATATTCTTCGTCCCTTCTGGACTCGCCATAATTAACTTCTCATAGACTATGCAACCAACTGCAAGTAACTCTTCGTCTTTTTGGCTAGACGTCCACAACAAACCGTTAAAATTTTCAACAGTTAATTCAAGGCCTGACCAAACTCTGAGACGACTGAACTTTCTCTCTACCTTGAACCTGAACATAAAAAAGATAAAAAAAAAAATCACAAAAATCACATACACTCTCAACGCCAAAAATCCACAGTGAGTACTCCTTTCTATCTCTGCGCACATACACCTCGTGTTTGACGAGTTCCTTTTTCCAGAACCTTATAAAACTATTTTTCCCTTGTTCATCTTGCATTCCTATTTTGGCGCAGAACATCTTCTCTGATCTCGTACCACGAGATACCTACTTGTTTTCCCATTTAATAAAAAATTACACGTTTTGCATCCAGACGCCTTTGTCATATTATTCCGGCTATCTCTTTGATGTTTATAATTTATGCACTTGTTGATTGACCCCTTTCCTCTCACTGTTCATTCACGCATTTTTCTTTTTATACATTGTTTGTGGACTCGGTAGTCTAGTGTGGTGTCTGGCACAAGGCCACTTTGTAATAAACCAGCACTGCACGCTGCCGGGTCTGCAACAAGCTATCTAGCCACAGTTGCCAACCATAACACCACGCCCGGAATGATTTTCTAAGTGTAGCTTAGGTGTGGCACATGCTAAACGTACGGGGCAGCTAATGAGGATCAAACTCATTAATAAGTCGTAATTGATTTAACTAGACAAACTTACTAACCATTACACCACATCATAGCGCCCGGAATGATTTTCTAAGTGTATCTTAGATGCGGTACAAGGCGGTAATGTGAAGTAGCCAATCAGGATCGAACACACTAACCCATCGTAATTGATCATGCGAAACATGGTTGTAAACCACTGCACCACATCAAAGGCCGAGAATTATTTTCTAAGCGGAGCTTAGATGTGGCATAAGGCCGGATGTATGAAGCACCAAGTAAGGATTCGATCTCTCTACTCGATCGTAACTCATCTAGCGAGACAAGCTAGCAAACCATCGAAGTTCCCAAAATCTGACTATAATTTTAAGATGGCCCCCTTCTTGGTTTACAAACAACGTTTCAATGGAATCTGACAAGAAAATTGAGAAAACGTTTCCTTGAAAATAGATTTGATTACGTTTCGCATTTCAAATTTCTCAGCGTGAAGGGTAAGACTATAAAATAAATCCGCGTCCTGGGTAAGACGAGAAAACTACATCCTGCATCAAGGCCTCTCATCGGGATTTTTTGAAGAACATGAAACCATCACTTAATTGCTAGTGTTTCCACATCCACCCTGACCTAGGGTGGTAGCAGGATTCCAGTTAACCCCGCAAAAGGGATTGAAACTATGAAAGTATAAAAATAGGTTTTAATACCAACAATATTTTTTGGGAAAAATTATTACCAGCAGTACATTTTTGAAAAAATAAAAATATTACCAGAAATATATATTTAAAAAAAAAAAAAAAAAAATAGCAGCAATGCAATTTCGAATAAAAAAGATTACCTGCAATACTTTTTTTGAAAACAAAATATTACCAGCAATACATTTTTGGAAAAATATTACCAAAAGTACATTTTTAGAAACAATAAAATAACAGCAATAAAAATAATGTCGTCATTAAATAACCCATCGGGGTTGATGTGCCGTAAAACAAAACAAACCAATCAAATTTATGAAAAACTTTGTCAAGATTCCATATCTTAAACTCATATAATAATGAAAAATGTATATTCATTAATACATAAATCTTCATTGCCATATTCACAACATTTATATCTTTGAGATGAGGTATTATGATTACTTGCATTATTTACATTATTCGAACTGTTATCCTCATCTTCATTGCCATATTCACAACTTTTCGGCCTCTATATCTCTGAAATGAAGTATTATGATTAATTGCATTATTTACATTATTTGGACTGTTATCCTCATTATTCGAATAATGTAAATAATGTAAGGAATCATCATACCTCATCTAAACGATATAGAGAATAAGCATAATACCTCATCTCGGAGATATAGAGGCAGAAACATTGTAAATATGGCAATGAAGATGAGGATATCAGTCTGAATAATGTAAATAATGCAAGTATGCATAATACTTCATCTCAGAGATATAAACTGACCACGATTTTTATATAAAAATGCTGGTTTAATTAAAAATAATTCAGAAAGACCAAGATGTTAAGAAAGTGCCGTAATCGTCAGCTCATCCACAGTAAATTTGAGCCAAGGTTCCTACAACGTTTCACCTGTATTGGGAGATCTGTTATCATATTGTGGGATATTTAATGACAAAGATGGAAACAAAACGAAAACGAAAAAAGTATCTAAATTAAATCAGCTAGATTATATACGTAAAACATATATTATTTTTTTAAAAAATATAAAATTGCCAGCGTCTCTCGTTCGTTCGCATGAGTAGTCGGGTCAGCATAAATAAACTTAGGTTGATCAAGTCCTAATGGACGGAAGCATACATTAAAATTACGTTTTTATCATATACATTTCCAATCATCAGGTATAAAATGCTGCGATTGTTCGTAAGTGATGATTGGCAAAGCGATAAAACTCTAAGTCGTGCTGCAATCATAGGTAAATATGTAATTATTAATACATTCTTTATAGCTCTGTTTTACTACATTGAGCACTGTTCTGTCTACTGCATTGATAAAATAAATAGTTAGTTGTTCCTTGTATATATACCTAATGGCTCATATATATGGTTGATCGTCTCTTTATGTAGACCCTTCTCTCTCTCTCTCTCTCTCTCACTATATATATATATATATATATATATATATATATATATATATAATTATTTATTTAAAAATATGATTCCAACTCGTGACATAAGAGGTCTCATGTTTCAAAACAAAAGCCGAAAACTTCAATATAATTATTTGAATTTACCTAACCAGTTCTTTCCTATTTTCTATATATTTTCACACACACACACACACACACAGACACACACACACACACACACACACACACACACACACACACATATATATATATATATATATATATATATATATATATATATATATATATATATGTCGGGGTGGTGTAATTGTTAGAAAGCTTGTCCCGCTAGAACAATTACGACTGTGTAGTGAGTTCGATCCTCACTGAGCGCCCCTTACTTTCGGCCTTGTGCCACATCCAGTGTACGCTTGAAAAATCGAACGTTCTAACCACTCGGTCACATGCCCAAAATATATATATATATATATATATATATATGTGTGTGTGTGTGTGTGTGTGTGTGTGTGTGTGTGTGTGTGTGTTTGTCTGTATATGGGCGCGCATGTGTGTACGGAATCGACACATCATCATTCTGTTCATATTTCAATGGTGAAGAGAACATTTTACTCAGAAGTATTTGGCCTAAGCCTTGGGAGTGATGTCATAAGTTATCGTGAACAAGGGTTTCAGCGTGTTAACCTTGCTGAGATAATTGATAAGGCTCTCTCCGAGAAACTCTAAGTTCCTGTGGGTGCTGAATAAATACAAACGTCCCTGGGAACTAGCTAGCTACCCTAGTAGACTGGCATCCGCTGATTCGAGTGGCTGCGCGATTTACAAAAAAACATATATATATATATATATATATATATATATATATATATTTCACTTCTGGCAAGGCGGGAAGCCACTTGTACGGAAGGGGTTTGGAGCGAGAGCAGATAGGAATGATAGAGGAGAGGATAAGGAGAAAGATATTGGATAGATCAAGGCAACTGGAGATGTCGATTGACATTACATTTGAATAGTTGGAAATTAAAGCAGGTAAATAGGAGTAGGGAAGGG